AATTTCCCCTTTGCTTGCCATTCATAAATAACTTCTGCCTATATTTTCATGTGTATCTTGCCAAGATACATATTTTTGTTCAATGCATAGTATTTACAAAAAAGAATCATATTATGCATTCTGTTTTACAGATTTTCTAAACAATATTTTGTGAGAATTATTTCCTATCAGACATTTTTCTATGTTGTTTGAATAGCTATGCATAATTCTTAATATGGAATAATCTCTATTTTTGGACAATCTTCTAAACATTAATATAAACAATACTGTGATAAATATCCTTGATGCTTAATGTTTGTGAACTCCTACAAATACTCCTTTATATATATATATCCCTTAACGTGGTACAACTGGGTTAAAGAGTATGTACATTTTTAAGGACTTTTATAATTGCCAGATTGCCTTTGAGAAATGTTGTGTTGATCTATACACACACTAATACTTATGTAACAAAAATGATTGTCTTTGGCTTTTGTGGGCAATCTGTCTTCCTTGCATCCTAGTCTTTCTGGTAGTCTAGTGAATTCTCATCTGAGAGTAAATTCTCATGTTCCTCATGTTCAGGAAGCCACAGAAATCTCTATATGAAACAACTATTCTAATACAGCCTCTGTCTGTCCATGAATTTTCTCCTACACATCTCTCTCAAAACCTCAACTAAAATAAACCTGATTGCAGACAATGGATGTTGTACAAATATTTACATAAATTTTATGTGCATTGTTGTGCTTCATTAACCTTTTGTTCAAAAGTCCTCATTAGCTTGCAGGATCACTCAGACCGAAAGCTTAAGGTCTTACAAGGACTTCAAAGTAGTTTTAAATGATCTGTTTCCTCACTACCTATCTGAGCTTATTTCCTGTTAATACTTTCCTCATTTATTCTGCTTCAGTAACACCAGCTGCCTAACTATTCCTGAAACACTCCAGGAATAAGCTTACCTCAGGACCATTGGATTCTTTGTCCTTAGATGTCATGTGACATAGGTCCTCACTCGTTTCAGGTCTTTACTCAAATGTTGCCTTCTCAGGGAGGCCTTTCTGGCCACCCAGTCAAAAATTGCAATTCTTCCCCATCACATCTCATTCCCTGTCTATGTTTTTAAAAATTTTCTTAGTGCTCATCACTCTTTAACATGCCATATGGTTTATTTATGTTTTTTATTGTTTGTCTTTCCAACTAGAATGTGAGCTCCTTGACCGTAGGAATTGTGGTCACTTTTGTTTACTATTCTATCCCCAGTTCTAATGAGAGCACCTATCATGTAATAGCTGCTCAGTAAATACTTGCTAATAAGAGATATGTCCCACCAGTACCTCCATTTGCGAATATGAGAGACCGGGCTCACTCTCTGTTGCTAGGATTTTTCTTTCTCTGAGACACAGTCTGGGTGATTTCTCTTCAGCTCTCTGTATTCTCCCTAAGAACCTCACAAGTGGTACACTTGTCTATTTCATTCTTCTCCTTGTCTGTAAGAACTATGCAAACCGGTGCAAATGGTTTAAATTTTCTAGGTTAGTCCTTAGTAGTTTTCATTTGTAAAAAGAATATTCCCTTTTCTCCCTGTCTCCCTATGTAGTTGGATTAAACGCATAATATAAACAAAAAGCACTTAGCATAGTACACAGCATAATTCATATTTGAAAAAAAAGTATATTCATTTTCATTCCTTTTCTTCCTTTACAGTTAGCACTTTTAAGGAAAATTCCTTTACGTAACAGTTCACTAATGCAATGAGGTAGAGAGACAGTAAAGTGAAGTGTCTGCATTCGCCGTTAATGCAGTATGAATATAAATGTACCAAAATAACGCATTCTTCACAAGCCTCAGTTCCCTGCCATCTTCTTCCTGGGTGTCTCTTTCTAAGATTAGGTATCTTTGGAAAGATTTCTCCAAATGAAGCATCCAATTCTGTTCTTCAGAGAGAATGTTCTAGTTTGCAGCTATTTCCCGGTCACAGGGTAACATCCGGATTTCCCATCTCCCTAGATAACTGCTAGCCGGTTAATTATAGCCTGGACAGTGTGAAGCAGATGATTTTAGAACATATTTGCAGTGGGGCTTTGGGAATCCTTAGAAGTTTGGTTAAGGCCGGCAGTATGCCCGAGGGCTTGTCCCAGCCAGAAGCCTATTCTGCACATGGACCAGCCTGAGAGCCAGGGTGGTTGTGATCTGTGTGCGTGAATGTGTGAGCACATGGATGTGTGAGCACACAGGCGTGCGCTTGCTGTGCAGGTGGATCAGTACATTCTTTGGGTCTCAGGATGTTCAGAGATATAAAGAGAGAAAACCAAAGTTCTCATCCCACTTTGGTCCTAACTATGGCTCCCTGTGTGGAGCCGAGGAACTGTCATTTCGCCTGAATGTATCTTTTACATGTCACTACCAACAGTTCTTTTTCCAAACCCCCAAATGAATATAAAGTCAGCGAGATACCCGAATGACTTATATTGTCTACTTGTCTACTACTGGATAATCCTTTTTATTGCCATTAAAATTCAGTCAAAGTAATCATGTAGAAGAACGTGCTGTTCATATGTCTTACAATCATTAATTATAACAAAACAGCTGAGGGTGCAAAGATGGTAACTATGTAATCACTGTACAAAGATGCAGGCAGTGGAAGCTGACCACGTTACTAACTCATTCCTGTGTCTTCATGTAAGACGAGGTTTTGTTCTCGCTTCCTCTTCCCATACCTCCTTTCTCCCAGTGTTAGAGGAAGAAGACCAGAGTGCCCTCATCTTTCCTAAGAATCCACAGGGACACGAGATGCAGCAGAGTGCAGTTAGAGTTTCGTTGTGGTGGTTTTGTGTTTGTTTCTCTTTCAGACAGCAGGTCCTGAAGCCATCTTCCGGAAGGTTCGTTTGTAGGTTCTAGAGCCATCTGTTGACACGTCGCTGAGAGGCTTCATGGTGTTAAGAAATGTAGAGAGTTTGAACTTGAAATGATTGGAGTGCCACTGGTGATAAACTAAACCTGATGAGACACACTTTGAACACAGAAGATGTGCTTTAGCAGTTGCTTCCCCCGCCCAGGGCGTGAGGGGGAACAGAAGCGTCATAAGGGGGACATCTCCCTGCGTCCTGTGTCCTAGTAGCTTCTGTGGCTGTAGTCACCTTGCTCTGTCAGCACACCTTCCTTTAAGCTCCTCACTCAAACTCGACAGGGGGTTGCTTCCCGGTACCACACCGCTCTTGTCTCTGTCAGTTTGGAGGACAGCTGAGTCATTACTGAGACATTTTTAAAAAGGCAAAGGGAAAAATGTTGCTAACCTTTCTGAATATGGGGGTTTCCTTCCCTGTTTTGCTTGTGCTGTAGGGAGAGAAGACAGGGAGATTGCGTGACTGATGGAATGCCATTTTGTATAATACCTGTCCATTTTTTGTCATGGTATGAACACATTTGAAACATTTGTCATGGTATGAAGCCATTTGAAAGTTCTTTGTTAACATCAGAAATGTCTGCTCTGGTGACTTGCTGCTTCTCCTCAGCGGTGACCATATGGCTTAGCATCTTAAGCACTGGACTGTGACTTAGGAACTGTGTTTTCATGTTCCAGAGTCCATCTTCCGTTATTGATGCCAGCTGAACCACCATCCATAAAATGTGAATAATAAACTGAACTACTCTGGAAAGTAAAGAAGAGTAATAAATTCTTCCCACCATCCTAAAGTGATATAAATGTATGATAAGTTATGGTAGAAGCCATAGTGGAAAGAATACATTCTGAGTCTTTAGGAAGATAGATGTTTTTTAATTTTTTGGATTACTTTGGATCCAGTTGGTTTGGCAGTTAATCCCTTGGGTATACATACTGTATGTTTGTGTGTATAATATTAAGCCACTAGTTCCAAAACTTTTCACAGTCAGTACCTCTTACCGTGCTCCTCCACACATGCAAATCTCATATTTAAAAGATTATGCTAACCCCAAACTTGTGTTCACCCATAATAACAAATGCATTTGTCCATAAAAATAATCACTTTCAGAATGTACGGCTATCATATAATAGCTGCTATTGTTCTGACTATTAACAATTTGAGACAGAGAAAATGATTTTATCATGTTTGTTCATCCGTGCAGGTTAATTGTGGCAAAGTCTCTGGTCTTGATGAAATAATCAGCATAGCATAAATGTCCTTCTTCCTTCCTTCTTCCCTTCCTGCCTGCCTGCTTGCCCTGTCTGCCTGCCTTCTAGGAGCCCAGGGACAACAGACTGAGAGCAATTTGATAGAGCATTGTTAAGTTCAGCTGTAGATGCAAGCTCTCTAGGTAGCTGTAGTTCTTTCAAAATTAGAGTTGATATTGTTCATATATTCCCCCAAATCCTTGGGTTATTTATTCCAGAAATTAAGCCATAAATAACAAATATCTTGCACATAGCTATTATTTACCATGATAAAAATCTTTAGGCGAATTAAGAGAGAGCACTTTTCTAAAGATCTTTGAGTTTTTATCATGTGTTGTAAAATTCTCACAGCCACATAATTCTCTATTTTTCATGCCTGCTGATTCATAACCAAGAACATTAGAGAGACCTCTCTTTTCTTTAGAAGAAGTGTTACTGTATACATTATTCTCAATTTGTGTCCTTAGGTTTTAAAACTGTTGGATCTGGTATCGATTACTGGATCTTTTTTTCATTTTTAAATAATTTTTTATTGTTATGTTAATCACCATACATTACATCATTAGTTTTTGATGTAGCGTTCCATAATTCATTGTTTGTGCATAACACCCAGTGCTCCACGCAGAACGTGCCCTCTTTAATACCCATCACCAGGCTAACCCATCCCCCCACCCCCCTCCCCCTAGAACCCTCAGTTTGTTTTTCAGATCTTTTTTTCATTTTTAAAGAATACATTTCCACTCCTCATCTCTTCCTCGTTCAGTTAAAGTCTATGACAAACTTGGGGGTAAGGGGCAGGGCATACATCGAAGAAACATCATGATCTCGAGTTTAAATATTAAATGATAAATAATATTTATTTCTCCAGAGACTGGATCCCCAATTACGGCATCATGCATTGGATTAGGTAATTCTAAAACACCTCCTCCAGGACAAGCAGGAAAAAGTGTTCCAGGATACAATGGTGAGAAATGACCCTGATTATTTGGAATATGCATGGTTAATAAATTTGGTATTTTTCCATGGCTAATGCGAATCAAACTGCACAGTAGGTGCTTAAAAGTATTTGATTGAATGAATACTTCGTACTATAAATAAATGCCTTAATTTTGTTATTAGTCAATTGGATCAAAAATAAGATTGTCGACTTCCAAAGACATGTTCTAAATGGCTGTCATAACCAAGAAAATAGTATTTATAAGGTACATTAAGGATATGGCTGTGAAATTAATATGTATGGAATCCTTGCTAGGTGCAGAGTACTTTGCATACATCATTTCATTAAATGATGAATTATATTTAATTCAGAGGTATCATTACCATTCTAAAGATGAGTTAACTGGTGCCCGGAGAGACTGAATCACTTTCTTGAGGTAATACGGCTGATTGCTCCTATAGACAACATTTTATTTTGTTTGTTTCTTTGTGTGTTTTTGCTACAAAAGTTGCAGTGTTTCCCATTATATATATGCTACCGTTTAATTTAGGAGTGATGATAAGGCTTCTGAACCTTGTTGGCCAAAGATAAGTATAAAAAGTAAAGATTCAAAATAAATAAAAAGTAAAGATTCTAAATAGAAAAATCACTTCATCCATGCTGGTGGTATGTGACGATGGGATATAATATATTTTAAGTATTTGCTATAGATTGCTGGTAGTGGCTATAATAGTTCAGTAATATCCCATGGGCTCCACTTGCTAGTTGCATAACTTATACAAGTCACCTAACTTTTCAGAAATTCGATTTCCTTATTTCTAAATGGGAATAATAATTCCCCATACTTCATAGGGTTATGATGTAACACACTGAAGCATTAACACAAGCACTTGCCAGTAACCAGACTGAACTAAGTCTTAGCTAGTCGTGTGCTGCTATTTCAGGGAATATGAAGAACAGAAGTTATTTTATATGCATAAGGTCACACAATTTAGCCTAATAGATTTATGAGGAAAACCCATCTTTGGGAGACAGAAAATGGTTCCAACATATAGTTTCTATTTGCATGTAAATTCTAAAATATAGAGAATATATAAAATATATATCCTCTGCCTCTCTGACATAAAAATACTGTCTTTTCTTTCTAGGACAGTGATTAGTTAAGGAAACGTGGATCATTTGACTTAGCCTAGCAGATGTATTTGTAAAAAGAAACTTTAGATTTTTTTTTTTTTTAGGGCAGAAATAGATATTCTGTGAAGTCAGTGACTTTTCCAAGCATGGGAAGGTGAACCCAGCTTTAGTGAAATCCTCACTTTGAACGGTTCTGTCATCCTTGCTCCTTTTATTGGAAAAATTGCTTTGTGTTGAGCCATTTTTAGGGGCTGATGTTTGTGGGAGATGTTAAATACAATTCCCTTTCGGTATTTTTATACTGAGCTATAAGAAAGAGTTAAGCTTTGATGCCTCATGAAATTTCAGTACAGAAATTTCTCCTTGGCTGACAGACAGTGTAGGTTAAACGTTAGAACTAAAGTATCTATAACCAAGGAAGTAGTGACTTTATGACTCATGATTTTTATGTTTTGTGGTTGGTCAGAGATTCAGAAGCATAATGTAGTATTCAGTAGTATAATAAAAAAGCAGTATCCACTTGGGAAAGGAAAGAAAACCATCTTTTGTGTGTGAAAAATATTCAATGCGATCTAACAGTTTCACATTCATTGAGTACCTTACACAGGCTTGTCACTTTTTTCTTCAGGTAATTCTTATAACAACATTGAGAAAAGAATCACTCCCACTTTTTATCTAGAGAAATTGAGGGTGTAATACTTGTACAGGGGAGCAGAGTAAATTGGCCACTGTACTGAGATTTGGAGACGCAAACATTAGTGAGGCATGACCTCCAACCTTAATGACCTTCTAGTCTTGTGAGAGGAATATTTATACCACTACTAATTGTCAGAATAGAACTTGAAAACAAAGTGCTCTGGGAACACAAAGAAAGGAACGATTAATTTTTTCTGCGGACAGTGTCCTTCTTTTCTCATAGCCTCGCTCAGTAGAACAATCTGGATGGATGAAGCCACATAAAGGATCAATTAGAGCTTAAAACATGATGATATATCCTCATTTCCAGCTTGCACTAGGGGTTACTGAATGTGGATTCAAGCTTTGACCTCCTAAAATCTTTCAGGATTTTAACAGTGTATTTTAACAGAAAGCACTGGGATAATATTTGGGAATTAAATGGATTTTGAAGGCTCAGAAGTGGATATTAAGCTTTAAATCAGAAGAAGGGGTTTCCCAGGCTTAAAAACCTTATTTTTATTGCTTGAAATATTTTTTGGTGTATTTTAGAACTTGATTTGTTTCCTTTAATTTTTGAAATGCTGCATATATTTTTAATGTTTCTGGTAGAATAGAAGGCCATGTTGAAGTGGATACAAACATGGATTATGAAATTAACAGCATGTTTGAAATGCAATGTCTTTACTTAAGGGAGGTTCTGAGGGAAAATTCATGATCTTGTTAAGAATCAAAGCATGTGCTCTTTTAATTTTTTGTGAGACATGTTAGCATAGTTATATGTTCACGGTCTCATAGAAATTAAAAGATGCCTGTGAAGCTACCATTTTGGGGGTTGGATATAGGAAACATGGAAAAGTTTAAGCTTTAAGGGTATGCATTTTTATTCAAATTTATATTATTTGTTTGTTTATATTTTACTTTGCAGTTATGATTTTGGATGACAACATGCAAAAACTGAAGGCTCGATGTTTAGGAAATATTGTGGTAAAGTAAGAAAGATTTGCAATGCTACTATTTAAGAGAGCAAGAACTGGTATATAATATTAAGAAAAAAATGGAGTGGTTGCAATGATAGTCCTAGGGAAGGGGTTGCAAAATAAGCTCATGCATTGTTTGAGAATACACAGTGCCAACTCTTGTCATTAAACATGGAGGCCCCATTAAGGAGCGCACATGATCTGATGAGCACTGGGTGTTATGCAACTAATGAATCATTCAATACTACATCAAAAACTAATGATGTACTATATGTTGGCTAATTGAATTTAAATTTTAAAAATAAATAAACATGGAAGCCCCCTAAAGTAGAACAAATTTAGATATGATTTTTTAAAAGATAAATCTTCCATTTTAAATAATTTTTTGATGATACAAGTAATGTGTAGGTGATCAATTTAACTTAAATGCCGAAAATACAAGGAAGTATGTAAAGATTCTATACTCCCACGCTTTAGCAATACAACATTAATTTTATAGTATATATGACTTTTTCCTTTTGGCAAGCATTTTAGATTTTTGAAACAATTCAGCTTATTCTGTATTGCTGTTTTTCCTTAAATTTGTCTCACGAGCATTGTTCACTTTAACTCTGCCTCTAAAAATGTTTATCCCATTCTAGAACTCTTAGTCTTTTTCGAATATTTACGATTATAAATAATGCTGTATTGAACATCTTTCTTTGTGTTGTCTTTTCTTCTTTTCTGATAATCACTATAGTATTGCATAATTTCTGAAAGTGTAATTACTAGGTCAAATAGTAGCATAATATAAAATCCCTGACTCAGCAAGTACAATTCCTTGCTAACATTTTTCAACCTTGTTCATTTGTAGGCAAAAGTGTCAAAATTTGAAGGGAAATATTAAAATTTGCTTTGATTATATCCATACTTTAAAATTGTTATGCTAGTGGAAGCTGAAATGGAAGTTGATTAAGTTGGGAGGAAAACAGGATGTGACATTTTAGTAATTGATACAGGTTACTTTAGTGACTCTGATTAGCATGAGATTGGCATCTTTACTGATGTGGTTTAGTAGTAGAATTTGGCAGAAGGAGCTGCTATAAATAAAGAACATTGTATGTCAGGTCTGAAGAAAGCTTTGTTTTCCTATTTATTTAAAAAAATACTTGGAAAAAAATTTTTAAAATAAAAGAATTCTTGGGGCTCCTGGGTGGCTCAGTCGGTTGAACATCTGACTCTTGGTCTCAGCTCAGATCTTGATCTCAGGCTTGTGAGTTCAAGCCCCTCATTGGGCTCCAAGCTGGGTGTGGAGCATCCTTAAAAAATAAAATAAAATGAAATAATAAAAGAAAAGAATTCTTATGACTTGGCATCCTGTCTCAAGTCAGAGACCTAACCTGAGGTACGAAATTATCTCAGGTCAGGTCTCTGAACTGCAGGATACCAGACACATACCCTCACCAGTCCCTAAACCTAACCCGAACACAAACCTGAACCCTAGATCTGAGGAAAAAAAAAAGAAAATATGGTATATTTATACAATGGACTATACTCAGCAATAAAAAGTACGAGATCTTGGCACTTACAACAACAGGGATGGAGCTAGAAAAAATTATCTCAGGTTAATAAAACATTTAAAATTCTGTGAAAATTAAATGAAAAACAGTAACTTAAAAAAGAATGTATTTCTTCAGGTCAAAATACTTTAACCTTACAAAAAGCTAACAGAGCAGATACACTTTATGATACAATTCTCAGATTCTCATTTATCCCTAAACATATAAGCACTATATTGCTTTTTTCAAGTTTAAATTTTAAGACGTCTTGTTGGCAAGATGGGAAAATTAAATACTGAATATACCATTTATATGCATATTATTCTGAGCCAGAATGCATGTTAACATAGAGCTGGTTGAAATCTGACCTCTTGGCGGAAGATGGTAGGGATGGGGGGGATGGCGTTCTAAGAAATAAGTAATCTGAACAAGATTGTTGGTGGTTGTTTAGCTTACTTAGGGAAGCACATGGTTTTTGAGAGCCTTTAAAAGCACTCTAGCAGCATACATTTTTATATAACCTCTTAACTATAAGTGAGTCTATCTATTTCATAAAGCAACTCATGTATGATTCTAGGGGTAGTGTTTGATCTAGCAGTTTTATACCCTTCATGTGTTCTGTCATTCTAATTATTGGTGGCTTTGCCCTACTTCCATTCAAAAATAATAAAATATAGCAACAGCCCACATGAACTATATTTTTTCTTGAAGCCATTGATGTGACTTCTAGTACTTAAGAGTAACATAACTATTGCCTTAAAGCATTCTGTTGTTTAAATTGTCACCAATTCAGAATTATTTTCTTCCCTCTGCATTCCTGAACAGGGAATTTTATTGTACTGATCTGGGATTCTGAAATTTCTATGTGAATTATTTGAAGATATAATATATTATGACATGCAGTGGAGTCTGATTCTTTCCTTAAGTTAATAGTGAAACTAGATGTTTGAAATGTTATATATATTATTGTATTCAAAAGGTAAAGTAGAAAAAACAGGAAAAAAATGTTCCCACTAAGATCTCTTCTTTAAAAAAAAAAAATAGTTCTTGAAGCCTTATTTTAGGAACTCGTTTTTATCTGGGAGAGCAAGGATTTCCATTTGAAATCCACTTCTCCAGTGGCCTTTCCACCCTAACCCATTAACCTCAAAATTATTTGTGCATCTCAGTGGCAGCATGCAAAGGATGTTTTCACATTTAACATCTATCGATAAGACCCATGGCTGTTCTTTGTACCTCGAGGGGATACATCATTCATCCAGAATGTGAAATGATCAATGAATGCTTTTTAAGATCTCATAATAAATACATGTTTAATTGAATTAAGGGGAAGAAAAAAGCACAGCTTTTTGAGTTAATAAAGATTATTCTGGTTTTAAAAAAAATAGTATGTAATTTGAGAGAGAATAATTTTTTCCCTGAAGACTACATTCTAAAGAAGGTCTGTGATCTGAAAGCAGGCTTCTTTCTAGAGATTGGCCACATGGGCACCCCAAAAACCTCAGTGGACTGTAAAAGGGATTATATCAGATATACAAAATATCTGAGACTAAATTTTAAGAAATTTGAAAAATTCTTAAAATTCAAATTTGAAAAAACTTACAACAAAAGTTAATACATATTTAATTAAATATCTTTGAAATTTAACATCGTAACAACTTCATGGTCAATTTAATCTTTTTTTTTTTTAAAGATTTTATTTATTTATTTGACAGAGGGAGACACAGCAAGAGAGGGAACACAAGCAGGGGGAGTGGGAGAGGGAGAAGCAGGTTTCCTGCTGAGCAGGGAGCCCTATGGGGGGCTCAATCCCGGGACTCTGGGACCATGACCTGAGCCGAAGGCAGACGCTTAACGACTGAGCCACCCAGGCGCCCAGTCAATTGAATCTTCATAAATTTTTCAGTTCATTTGCAAACAACATTTAGGTCTTATTTTCTCATTCTGCACAGTTTCTGAATATATACAGTGACTGCTGAGAAATAAGAGCCAATAGTAAACTAAATGTGTGGCTTCTTGCCAAATGATTTTCAAAGCAAAATTATAACTTTTCTTCCAGAAAAATTCTAGTTTCTATGGCGTATTGCTATGTTTTATTATTTGTGCACATATAGGGGGTAAGGCCACTGGTAATAAGAATAATTAGGGCCCACGGGGGACTTGAAACTGAGATGGCATCAAAAGCCACCCCTGGGATTGACCCCTGGCCAGAGATAGATGTCCACTCTCAATTATTCATACCCACGCTTTTCTTTATTATCTTGTATGGTAACTAAGTAGGAGCAGTTTGAAAGAGCAGTATTCCCTAATGTTATTTATGTTCACTAATCATACTTGGAGTATAATTACAAGAATACGGGGAAAGTCTGCATGGAATATTTGGAATGTATGGGGCTTAAACTATATTAAAGTAAGTCAATAAAAAAATGACTCATTGTTTTAATCCCAAATTTGTTTGCTTTTATAAGTACTGCTATAGCTGCTGCTTTCACTATAAAATCTGTTATGAATAGGATAAATAATAACATTGGAAACCATCTTTCTCTGACAGTTTCTTTAAAATCTGAAGCTATAATCATATTTCCACCCTTTTCGAGATATTAAATGTAATGATTCACTTTATCATATTAAGACGATTCACCTAAAATGAGAAATAGTGGTATGTGGAAATGTTGAACAGAAAACTCTAGCTCTGCTTCATTTTTTCCACTTCTTTTGTTAATGTTTTTTAGAAATCACTGTTTTGCTCTCCTGGGGATCCCTTTACTGGAAGGGAGACATTTAAGTGATTCCTAAACTACCATAGACCCTGGGATGTAATAAACATGAATCCTACAGCTTTTGTAGATTCTTTGCATTCATAGGATTTGCCTTTCTAGTGGAAGAGAAACTACGCGTCTTTGTGGATGTTAGCAAATTCCTTTGATTTTGAAACCTACTCCAGGCTGTTAATTTAGTGGGAAAGTTATAGTGTCTGAATTGCTATGAATACAGAATGTTCATGAATTGTGGGAGGTGTCCTGCAATTGCATCCAGAGCTCTAAAGTGCAGAAATAAAACAGCCAGTAATTTCCAAGCAACACAGAGCAGGACATGAAAGAACATTTTAACTGCAATTGCCTTCCTCAGTACCACACTGCTCACTGTTATTAAAGCCATAGGTCTCTGGCTACTGTAACAAGTAGGCAATAGTTGATCAAAACCAACTTGTACTGACTAATAAATCTTTCCACTGTATTCAGTTTTTTAAAAAAAGAAAAAAAAAAGTCCTCTTTTATGGGCCTGCATTTTTCTTGGACCAGATCCAGTTGTTGCTACTGGAAGTGGGGCTTGTCTGACTCTTGCTGTGTGCTGGGGGGGTG